TTTAAATAAATGTACATAGTTTTTGTAAAGATTGTATATTTGAGTTGGGCATGAGTTCATAAAACTTGACAACATTTGGTCTGGAGCATTAACTTTTGTGTAAAATTTTTTTTCTTATCTCTGAAAAAGCTGTACACTCTAAAATGTAGTGGTATTCATCACCTATCTTTCCATTGTTACAAAGTAAACATACTCTTTCATTTAATGGGGTGCCACACCACCTCCCTGTTTCTACAGGTAGATGATGATTTGAGGTACGCATTTTCATCAATAACTTTCTTTGTTTTGGGTGAAAATTTTTAATATAGCTTTCAAATCCGAAATTGGTTTTAAAAATTCTGTAAATCTGGCCTTTGGAAGAACTATTTCTGTCATGTGACCATTTCTGAATGAACTGGTCTTTTAAATTCTGATTTACAATAGCACCTAGCCATTTAGCATTGACCACACCTTGCCCATTCCATATAAATGAAAGTCCACAATTATTTAGAATCTTTTGAATACATTCAATCCATTGACATTTAAAACCATCATTACTTAATTGGTTATACATATACTTGTACACAATATTGACAATTTTATCTTCTATACATGTAAACATCTTTGATCAGTATGTAGTCATTCTCGTAAAAACATTGATGTACAAAGGGAATCTTCCAGTTTCTCCGTAAATCATGTAATTTGGTGTAGAACTTTTCAAATTAAATATAGTTTTTAAGAACCTTAAATGGACACGTTCAATAATATCCATATTTTCATAGCCCCATATCTCACATCCGTAGAGTAAAATGGGTGTGACTACTTTATCAAACAAGAGGCCCAGGGGCCACATCGCTCACCTGAGCAATTGGCTAAGAAAAAGCACATATGAGATCAGAACTGAAAGTTTACTGAGGGGGGGGGGGGGGGCTTGAATTTTAACCCCCCAAGGATCATGATTTGAACAAACTAGAATATACACTATCTGAGGATGATTCCCTATATATATCACTAAGCATGGCTTTGAAGTACTTGAAAAGAAGATTTTAAAAGGTTTCCCTGTATATTCCTATGTAAAACTTTGATCGGCCATTAGGCCCCACCCTACCCCTGTGGGTCATGATTTGAACAAACTTGAATCTACACTTCATGAGGATGATACCACAGGAGTTTCATCTTTCATGTCTCAATGAGAAGATTTTTCCTATATATTCCTATGTAAAACTTTGATCGGCCATTTTGGCCCCACCCAACCCCGGGGGTCATGATTTGAACAAACTTGAATCTACACTACCTGAGGATGATTCCACATGAGTTTCATCTTTCCTGGCCCAGTGGTTCTTAAAAAGAAGATTTTTAAAGATTTTTCCTATATATTCCTATGTAAAATTTTGATCAGCCATTTTGGCCTCACCCTACCCCTGGGGGTCATGATTTGAACAAACTTGAATCTACACTACCTGAGGATGATTCCACAATAGTTTCATTTTTCATGTCTCAATGGTTCTTGAGAGGAGGATTTGTCCAATATATTCCTATGTAAAACTTTGATCTGCCATTTTGGCCCCACCCTACCCCTGGGGGTCATGATTTGAACAAACTTGAATCTACACTACCTGAGGATGATTCCACATGAGTTTCATCTTTCCTGGCCCAGTGGTTCTTAAGAAGAAGATTTTTAATGTATTTTCCTATATAGTCCTATGTATAACTTTGATCGGCCATTTTGGCCCCACCCTACCCCCCGGGGTCATGATTTGAACAAACTTGAATCTACACTACCTGAGGACGATTCCACATGAGTTTCATCTTTCCTGGCCCAGTGGTTCTTGAGAAGAAGATTTTTTAAAAATGTCATTAATTTTTCAATAAGTCATAGTTATCTCCCCTTGGAAAAGGGTGTGGCCCTTCATTTGAACAAATCTGAATCCCCTTAACCCAAGGATACTTTGTAGCAAGTTTGGTTGAAATTGGCCCAGTGGTTCTTGAGGAGAAGATGAAAATGTGAAAAGTTAACGACGACGACAACGACAATGACAACAACAACAACGACGACAGACGACGGACAAATTTTGATCAGAAAAGCTCACTTGAGCCTTCGGCTCAGGTGAGCTAACAAGTCAAGCTGACATTCAATCGGTAAATTAAATTGTCTAATTTTTCTTATCACCCCGTACATTGCTTTCTGTGCTTGCTCACAAAGGTGTTTCTTCGCTTTACAGTATGAACCTGTTCTTGATAATACAATTCCTAGATATTTAAATTCTTTTACATTTTCAATATTTTGGGTATTGTAATAAAATTCCCTCTTTAACATTGCCCCTTTGGAGAAAACCAAGACTTTTGACTTATCAACATTCACATTAAGTTTCCATTGAGTACAATAAGTATGGAATTCATTCAATGCCTTTTGTAAATCATCAGCAGATTCTGCCAATATAACCGTGCCAACAGCATAAAATAAAATCAAAAGTTTTAAATGTAGTAATAATTCATCTTCGATTTCTTTACTAATAGTTTGTAATCCGACTATGTCTTTTTCTACCAAAAATTCTTCAAGATCGTTTATGTACAAGGAAAATAAAAAAGGTGACAGATTTTCGCCTTGTCTTACCCCGACATTACATTCAAAAAATCCCGAGGACATTCCATTTTGTTTCACTAAAGACTTAATTCCCATGTACATATTCCTTATATAATTGAAACATTTTCCGTTAATACCATTTTTGAATAGCTTATTCCACAAACCGTTTCTCCATACAGTGTCAAATGCCTGTTTAAAATCAATAAATGCACAAAAAATTTCTTTTTTCTTTTCATAAGGATATCAGATAGAAATTGCAAAGTTAAAATATTGTCTAATGTTGAGTAATTTTTCCTAAAACCCGCTTGATTATTATTTAGAAGGTTAACCTCATTTGCATACATTTCTAGTCTATTCACCAATATGCGGGTAAAAAGTTTGCCTAGGCAGCTTAGCAGAGATATAGGACGATAATTTTCAGGCTGGGTTAGGTCGCCCTTATTCTTATATATCGGTCTAACAATACCAATTAACCATTCATCTGGAACGAAACCACTATCAAAAATTATATTAAAAAACTTCTTATACAATCGTAAAAACGTTGACAATGTTGTAGAAATATGTAGAAAAACGAGGTGAAGAAACCACTTGCTATGACCTTCTGTTATATGTACAAAAGTTCATTAATTAGAAAATAGTTTCACAACTCGACATTTAGATATATCGACGGCGTATTGTCAATTAACAATGGTCATTCCCATTCCTATACACGATATACTTAGTATCCTGGTAAGCTTGAGATAAAAGATACCACAAAGTCTGACGGTTTATTCCCACTTAGCCAAAATTCTGAATTTCTTATTCCCATCTAGCCAAAATTGGGATATTCACACCTGAGTGGTCACCTGTGTATAGTCTGTTTTAGGCTTATTTTTAGGCTTATTGCCTGTACTTATAACCTGTGGTGTATAAGTTCAATATCAAAATACATATCATAAATACTTGATTTATAACATAATTATTAATTAATCAGGTCCTAGATATTAATAATTTTAAAATACATACCGGTACATTCATATCAATATCATTTTTTAAAAAGAAAACTTAGGATCATGTTTTGATAAAGAGATTATACTCAGAATGAAAAGAAATGAGAAGACACATATGTCTATACTTGGATATATTACTCGAAAGACATTAATGGTAATCTAACACCAAAGCTCTATGATAAACGTGATGACTTTAACTTTTCTATCGCCAACTTCCCTTACATATGCAGCAGTATACCTTCATTACCATGAAACAAGAATATCAGCAGTCTCGTTTAAAGTCATCATTTCGTATGTTCTATGGTCGATAAAATGACCTTGTCAGCAAATACAATTTATTATGGACTCAACCGCTGACTGACGCTTTTCATACTAATTGTTAGTCCATTATACACTGAATTGACAACGGATTTTCCCGTTATTTCCCGATCATGACAAGGAGCACATGGCGGGTGTGACCGGTCAACAGGGGATCCTCACTCCTCCATGGCATCTGATCCCACCTCTGATGCTTTAGAGGTCCTAGTTTGTTCTGCTCCTATTTTGTATTGTTTTATGGACTTTGATATTGAATACTTTCGTTATCCCCATATCCTTCATTTCTTTCACTCATATGTCGACTCGATATACATGTATACCATTGAACTCAAAATAAAAGAGGTTTTGTCCCATTTGTTTGATATTTAAATATTTTATACAGCATGAAATTTGTGGAGTTAACGAACAGTATTCGAGCTTTAAAGTCTATTGAACATTACAAAATAGGGGCTGAGCAAACAAGGACGGCCAAAACACTAGAGATTGGATCAGATTCCATGGAGGAGTACGCATAAATGATAAGGAATAGCTAGGAAGTAAATTGTACATTAAAAGAGAACATTTAAGCTTTTCAATTGTCAATTTTCGTATTTATAATACAGTACCAATTTTCCATTATAACAACTGACATGAACATACGGTTTGTGACTTATTTGATTATTTGCTTACCCTATTGCTAAGATATTTGGTCTAAATTTAATATTCTTCGCTGCAAATCAGCTGATTTTAAAAAAATAATATTGGTCATTATAAAACTATAAAATTAAAGCATCGTATAACAATTATTATCATTGACTGATAGTTCATTTTTAAATGTTTTATGCAATTTTTAATTATTTTTGCTCTGAAAATGCCTCTGTTTCTTAAGTGAGTTGTGTGTACTTTTATGATAACATTAATCTCGATCATTGTCACATGTTTTACACATTTATTCACGTCAGCACTTGAAGGAACAATCTAAATTGTGTTTTGACTGTTTCAATCAATTGTTCCATGTTTTTACGAAATGGATTTCGCTGAAAAAAAAATAAATTACTACTCACAATGAAATAGACACCTACAATATACATGTATCTTAATTAAAGTGGAATTGCAAGTTATACCTATAAATAATTGATGTTTTTTTGCAGTTTTCGCAGCCTTCGTACCTCTTCTAATGTGTTTATAATCAATCTGTCGATTGCTAACTTGATGATGTCCTTGATTGACTTCCCGCTTCTCATCACTGCCAGCTTCATCCAAGATTGGCCATTTGGAAAAACCGGTAAGTAATTATATAATTAATTTCAATGAAATTGGACGTCTTTCATCAGATGAAATGCGAGTTCTTCCATTGAAGAACCGAATATATCTAAAAGACCATTTACCTGTGCTTCAGATCGAGTATTTCCTTTATTTACTTTACTAAGAAAAGATGAAATTATACATTGAAATTTGTTTCTCTCTCCTCAAAGTCCCTGTTTTAGTTAACGAAGACTTTAAATTAAAATATATGACAGTTAATGTCTTGTTTACAGATAAACATTTTTCGTTTCTCTCTCTCTCTCTCTCTCTCTCTCTCTCTCTCTCTCTCTCTCTCTCTCTCTCTCTCTCACACATACATACAAAATTCCAATTTCGGATAAAGTATAAAATTTGCTTATCTTTCGCTTGAGTTTGATATTCTACCGATTAATTAATTTTTCAGGTTAACAAATAAGGATCTGAAATTATTTTTGCTGAGAATTTCAAGTTTTTGACAGCCAACGAAAGGAGCGCTGATTTATATAATACATTGTATATTTTTGATTCGTCATATCTCGCTAGAATTTCAGAGAATATTAATTGTTAAACTCAAGTATGCAGACTCCCTTGAGACGCAATTACAAGTCGCTGCAATTTGAGATAGAAATTATTCACTTTTTCAGCGCATAAATGAACTGCTCTTTAGGGAGTTTTTCATAGGAATTTTAATGGGTATCACTGTTTTTCTCGTAGGAAACTGTCTTTTTAATTTAATCACCAGAACCGGATGCGGAAGTAAAATCATCTTGCGTCATTGTTAATTTCCCCATCTACAAGTTCTCTTCAAGAAACACGGGCCTGATAAATGTCAAGCTTGTCATGAAAAACAATTTTCTGAAGATAATTCCATGAAGCTTTGATACCCCCCTCCAAATGGCAAGAACTATTAGATTAGCAATTATTGTTAAGATAAAGGAAAACTTTGGATAGCACATAAAAGGATAAATTGACAAATTAAGCTTACTTTGATAAAACCAAGGCATGGAGATCGTTGCATTATTATACAAATATTTTTTTAAGGTTTAAACTTGTGGGTTTTTCAAGGTTTAAACTTGTGTTTTTTAATATTCGAAAACATGTGGTCCAAATTTATTCGTAAACTTTTTTATAATCGAAATCATGATAGGCCATCTTTAAAACATTGTTTGGTTTTCCTCTCCAGACCGACTGACTAAAATTGGCCCGACTTAAAACTTTTTTTAACATTCCAGGACATAATTTTTTTTTCTTTTTAATGCTCTTATCCCGTCAACAAATACTTGCATAATAAAAATTTCTGGAAAAAAAGATTTTTCCACATACCTACGGACCCAATAACTTTACCGTGAGTCGAGAGATGGCACGCAAACATTATTTAAAAGATGGCCTTACAAATATAATTGTTATTCATATTTGTAAATATGAACACTAGAAGCGAAAACAAGAAAGAACCAGTAACCTCAAAGAAACACCATAATTTCAAGATATTGCATATAAATCACGATATTTGTCTAATATCACAACGTTTTATATGCCATAAAATATCATTCATGTTGATTTTGCATTGTTTTGAAGAAAAGATGATTATTTATGCCAGCGAACAATGACTTCTAAGTTGATACATATAAACTTTTCAAAATGAAAATCCTTCTTTCTGCACGCTTGGATATTCATTTTATAAGAAAAATAAATCCGAAATTTTAATTTATATTGTAAATTTTAATATCATATTAATGATAATGATAAAAAGGGCGAAGATAACGAAGAGTGTTTATTTTCAAACTTTTTTAAACAACACAATTTGTGAACACGTAAAAAAAAGTCCCCTGGAAACACCAGCGATGGGATCAGGTGCTTAGAAGGAGTAAACATCCCCTGTCGACCGGTCACACCCTCGAGAGCAATCTTTTTGGATTAGGAAAAAAAAGAAGTAAAAATAGATATAAAACAATTGCTTATTCATTGGTTTGAAACATTTTAGTCAAAATACGACCCAATACAAAAATTCGATCCAAAACGGTTTTATTTACAATCGAGGTCAATGTAAATAACAACTGCAGAATTTTTTAAAGTACTTCTAGAGGTTGTAGAAATCCTTGTAATACCAACTTACTAATACATGTATTTGTCATTAGAATGTCTCGGTAGTACTCAAGTTCAAGTTCAAGTTCAAGTTCATTTATTCTCTCAAAACCATTTAAATACATGGTACATGAGGACAATGATAAATATTTACAGCATATATACATTCTGGTCAGAGGTATAATTATATGATATTATACATAATAAGACAATGAAATTGGAGAAGAAGAAAATGAAGAGAAAAAAAGCATACTCGAAGCATACTCTTGCGCACCAATTCAGCTGCGAGATATCAACACAATATGCAGGTGAAAGTGAAATGTTACTCGCATAACATGAATAGGGATACTCCTACAAGTAAGAGCCTCGGTTAACGTCCCTACGCTCCTTATATACCTCGGACTCTTACATCCGAAGGCCATTTTCTAACGAGCTCGTTCCGCCTGAGATTTTGGGCGGAACGTATTATGCATGAAAAAAAACAGTTTACAAGTAATTTTCAGGTACCTACGTGTTTGCATGGGGTATGAAAACACAATCACAAGAAATAATAAAATCCATTTTATTCAGTGTGCATTATTGTTTATTAATGAAAATTGTCATCATTCCAATTTGTCACCAGAAGTACTTTCGATTTGACTTCACAGTAATTTTGCGGTTTGCTTGTCAGAAAACGAAATTTTCGTTGCATTACACTGGTTTCGTTTCGTCAGATTTTATGAATTCCATTTCCGAATATTAAACAGACGACTTGTTTCAATTTCTCCTTCGATTTAAAAAAATAATGGATTTATTGCTAATACGAGAGGTTAACAGTGTTTTATGCGATTGAGTATTTTATTATTTCGTACCATTCGTTAATATACAAATCCTCATTTCTTAATAAATTAATTTTTTTCCACTTGGGGTTTCAGCGGCGAGAATTTTTACAATGGATGCTAGAGGTTACGCGGCGCCAAATCAAAAGTATCTCGCCGTGAACCTCTAGCATGCTGGAGTAGAATAGGGAGGTCAAGGAGGGAAAAGCATTAACTTGTTTATATGACATATGCTGTTTAGTCGTTAGTGATTAACAGCATTAACTTGCTTATATGGCATGTGCTGTTTAGTCGTTAGTGATTAACAGCATTAACTTGCTTATATGACATGTGCTGTTTAGTCGTTAGTGATTAACAGCATTAACTTGCTTATAGGGCATGTGCTGTTTAGTCGTTAGTGATTAACATCTATAATCAGTAGATTGTCCCAATATGAAATATATGTCGTCTCTGGTCTCTTTTATTTCGAGTTCACTAGAATACCGGTATATCGAGTAGACATTCGAATGAAAATAACTATTTGTACTTGATAAAATATCGTTAATAATATCTAATGTCGAATTAAGGCCAAATTGGGCACTAAAATGCGTACATACGCAAAAATATATTTGTACCGCAAAAGTACTTCGTAGCATATTTTCAAGATTCGTCATTATTGTTTTTTTTATTTTATTTTGCAGTTTGCGATGTGTATGCAACACTAACAGGTCTTTGTGGCTTGGTGACCATTAATTCACTGACCGTAATAGCAGTAGACCGATACCGTGCCATAGTAATGAGAGTCAACTCGGCAGATCCAGCACCGAAATGGAAAACATACAAAGCCACGTTAGTGATCTGGACGTATGCATTTATTTGGGCTATTAGTCCTGTCCTAGGATGGAATCGATATCAGCTCGAGGGTGTTCGGACAACATGCACTTTTGATTATCTCACAAGGGACAAGAGTACAATAAGTTTCATAGTGGCCATAGCAACATGCGAATTTATCATTCCAGTAATTGTTATAATTCTGGCTTATTTTAAAATTGTGACAGCCATGATAGTTCGTCGTCGAAATCTTTCTATGTCAAGCAACTCTGAAAATGCTTCACTTAATATTAGAATGCAGCGTTACCGAGTGAGAGCGGAGATTCGTACAGCATTAATTATCATTGGTTTAGTGTGTCTTTTCGTTGTTTCTTGGCTACCATACACTGTGACTGCCATGATAGGACTGTTTGGAGACCAGAGCTTGATAACTCCCTACCTGTCATCTGTAGCTGGACTTGTAGCTAAAACATCCACCGTTTTTAACCCCATTGTGTATGCCATCATTCACCCAAAATTTAAAACAAAAATTAAAACACTGATATATCGACAAAGCTTTACTCAGACAGGAACACGATCAAGAGTGAACAGCCGAATTTCCTCGAATAAATATTCAACGAGTGGAAATTATGACAGACAGTAAACTTTGTCTTACCTTAAAAATTTATATGTACAACGAAGCAATGTTGATTTTTTACTAATATCATCTTTTTATTGAAAAACTATTCATTTATTTATTGAATACATTAATTTCTTAAGAACACGTGAATTGATTTATACTTTCTTCTATGCTGTATATTCATGCTTCAGTTTAAAAAAAGTTAAAAACTTCATGTAGCTACTGTGATCAAAATTGCCCTGCCATAGTATCCTTAGGTGACAATGATTCAAAGAGGTAGATTCACGTATTCCATAAAATGGCCCTGTCAATATACTAATTAACCGACCAAGTCCTTACGTCCTATTTCGATCATCAACATAAAGTAGAGACTTAGTGCTTTCATTTCCTATAAGAAAATTTCCTCTGAGAGTCCAAGTTTGGAAACTCGGGCGTTATGAAACTGCAATGTTCTTGATTTTTGAAGAAAATGGGTGAAATTGAACATCTTCAACTTTTGATAAAAATATGAGCCCACCCTGCGATCCACAAATTCTTTCATGGATTAGAATCTTCTAAAACAGTTCTTTCATTATATAATTCAACATTTTAGATCAGAAGTTGGGGGCTATGCAAAATATTAAAAAAACAGCTTAAATTTTTGGTCATTTTTAACGAAATTTTCAAGATCTGAGGAAAATGACGAAATTCATGACGTCATAATACATAGACAATAGAAAAAAATTACGTCATTTTTATTTGATATGAAGTCACAAAGGGTCTAAGTGAAATATAACATATTTTCAACTAAAACTGAGTAGTTCTTACTTTTCAGAAATTCACAGGGCCAAAAATGTACCATGTGAACTTTCTTCTTTACAACAAAAAAGAAGAAAAATTAAAAGAAGGACCAGGTCTTTTTTTTGCATTTGAGATAATAAAAAAGACACGTACAACTGTCACTCTTAAAAAAGTTTTACTTAGTAGTCATTTTTTACTTGAAATAACAAAGATAAGTAATAGATAATTACTAAGCATTTACTTAAAATTTTAAATCAATTACTGAAATATATGTCAATTACTAAATTCAAATGTTTTACTTGATTTTTGTATTTTAAAGAATTGTTTTACTTACACACTAAAAAGTTTTACTTAGTAATTTATATTTACTTAAATTTGTGTATATAAGTAATAATATTACTTGGTCTTTACTTACATTTTACCACTATTTACTATATAACATATTTTTTTGCCCCCGTAAACGAAGTTTCGGGGGTATATAGTTTTTGTAGTGTCCGTCTGTCTGTCTCTCTGTTTGTCTGTTTGTCCGCACAAACTTTAACCTTGCCCATAACTTTTGATTTACCGGAGCTATGACTTGTATATTTTATGTCTATTCCTTTTGACAAGACCTTTCTTTGAGTATCACCAAATTTGACCTTTTGACCTTGACCTTGGAGTTTGACCCACTTTTACAAATTCCAAACTTTATCTTTAGCCATATCTTTTTAACAGTAAATACCAGGACATTAATACGTCACATATATATTCTTTGTTGAAAGACCTTTCATTGGATACCAACAACCATGACCATTTGACCTTGACTTTGGAGATTTCGATCTATATGAAAAAACTTTAACCTTGGCCATTACTTTTGAACGATAAGGGATAGGGCTTTCACACTTACATATTTGTAATTCCTGTGAGAAGACCATTCATTGGATACCAAGAACTTTGACCCTTTGACATTGACCTTGGAGTTTGACCCACTTTTAAAAAGCAAACCTTGACTTTAACTTTAAAAAGGTTAGGGTTAGTGCATTCAAGACCTTTCTTTGGGTACCACCAAATCTGACCCTTTGTGAATTGTCCTTGACCTTGGAGTTTGATCTACATTTCAAAATTGGTAACTTTGACCATAACTTCTGAAGGGTTGGGGCTAGTGCTTTCATATTTCAGATATGTATTTTTTGTGGCAGGACCTTTCATGAGATACCAATAACATTGACCATTTGACCTTGACCTTTGAGATATCGAGAAATACCAATATATTGAATTTGCATATAAGAAAAGTTTAACCTTTGCTATCTTGCCATAAGGGGGGGGGGGGTGTCAGTGTTTCACAAACACATCTTGTTTAAATTGTATTTAATTGATTTCCTTAAAACAATAATTTATTTACTGAATCAAGGAGAATTCAGAGCAGTTGTAATACAAATAATTACTTAATATATAATTTTGGCTTCCATCTTAATTGTCTGTGGGAAGGAGTTATCTTTCTTCTAAATATTCCTTCATATGAAAAAAAAAATCATACTAATTAAATTGTTGTATTAAGTATTTGCAACTTTAAACCATTTTTAAAATGGTCCTTAAAAAGATACAACTTATTTAATTTATAAGGCTTTTAATACTGGAATTAAATGTTTTATTGTTAAATATAATAAAACAATTACAAAGAAATTGGCAAAACAAAAAGAAAGTATTGTTACCATACCATGTAGATCTCATCTAATTGATTACTCAGAAAGCTCAATTAGGAAACTGTGATCAAGAAAACTGTGATTAGTCTTACATTTTAAACTTTCATAGTTACATGTATCTCCTTAATTCATCAGAGGGTTGATACCTTGCGGTTTTTCTAGTAAATAATGTCGATTTTAGTAAATATAATAAGTATTTCATTTACTTAGTATTCTCTTAAGTAATAATATTCTAGATTTTAATTAATTTCAGAATTACATTTACTTAGTGATAATTCATAAAATCTAGTATTTAGAAAGCATATTATCTCTAAATTAAGTAATAAAAATTTCCTAAAAATGAGTAGTTCATTTACTAAGTAATATAATTCCTATTACGTATTGATACTTAGTAAATCATTTTATAAGTAAATGAATTCATCCTTATTACTAATTATGTTTACAATTACTAACCATGATAGTCATTTACTTGCTATTCTGACTAAATGGATTACTAATAATTACTAGTTTTTCTTAATCTAATATCTTATTTTAAAAACAACAAGTAACACTTTTTTAGAGTGGTAAAAACCACTGAGTTAAAAAATGAAAGTCTAAGAGAGCTCTCATAAAATTAAAATTTAAGTATTAAATTTGTTTTTGCATTAAGAAGAGAAACACTCTCATATATTTATACTGTATATGGCCTAGTAAACTTTTTATTGAAGAATTAAACAATTTTGTTTGAAACTTGAAATCTTCAACTATTGGCTCATCAAAAACGTGTTGATATCAAGAAAAGCATTAGAATGGACAAAGATTAACAGATGAATCGATAAAGAACGAAAAATCGGACTAACAGAGCCTCTCAAGTTCTTACTGGTACGTCCATCCTTAATTAGTATCAATGGAAACCATTTCCTGTCGAACTGGTCAACTGCTTTGTATGCCCGTTCTACCAATTTATAAGTATAAACATAATACAGCTTATGCGAAAAATTAACTTGTCTCAACCAACCATATCTTAACTGGCATGTCTTTGAAATATCAAAAGATGTTATATTTCATGATAAATAGGATATTTATATGAAAGACAGATGTATAACTTCAATACCAATAGCATCGATCTTTTTTCAAGTCCCAGGAATATTCATTTTGCAAGATAAATTACAAGTAATACCAGAGTGACATGTTTACATTTCTGTAATTAAGAATGTCCTTGCTATATTAGTCGAGCAGTCAGAATTTTCTTGATTGAAATGACGCAATTTCTACGCCCATTTGAAAATGATAAAAATGAAACCATCGCTCAACGAACTTCATCAACGTTGTTGACATTCATTTAGTCTGCCACGAAAGGACAAATAAAGATGAATGTTACAGTGAACATGACAGAAAACGACAGTATTCTTCAGTCCTTTGATTTTTCAATTTTTGCACGATTATGTGAACATACTGGTCAAAGCACCAACAATTCTAACGATTCCTTTATTATACGTCTACAGAGTATTTGCAACTCTCCTCTGTACAGTATAACCATAGACCGCAAAAACATTTTACCCGCCCCATTACCAAAATCCACAGTGGAAGTATTCATGGCGCTCTATCTACTGATAATAGTTTTGGCAGTGTTTGGCAATTCGTTGGTTCTTGGATTTATTGGTGTGGTGAAGAAAGCCCGGAATTTGACAGACTTATACATCGTTTCGCTAGCAAGCAGTGATTTACTTATTGCGGCCTTCAACATGCCGTTTCAACTGTATTATGTGGTAGCCAATGACTGGGTGTCGAGTGGTGATTTTGGTCTTTTTCTTTGCAAATTCACGACGTATATTGAGGGTGTGACGGTCGTAGCCAGCATTCTTACTTTGCTTTTTATTGCAATTGACAGGTATTACATTTGATTCTGGAATCCTTTAAGTCAGAAATTATAGATACCAGCACATTGGAAATTTATAACAGCATTCATTAATAATATTTTTGGCTAAGCTGAAAGGGCTAAAGATAGTTTGCCCATTATCTGTATTTTTGCTAACCTCCTACATTTTCAGTTTTTTTTTTCAAAAACAAAACCAATATACTAGGGGCAAAACATCCTAGAATGACATAGCTTTATTCTGTAATCACGTAAGAACAAGTAATTTCTGTTTTGTACATCTGCTTTCAGATACGCTGTTATTTGTGAAAAAGGGATCGCAAACGTGATCCATAACCGAAGTTCTGGAAGACTTATTGTAATTGCTGTTTGGTGCATTTCGTTGTGTGTTTCATCTCCAAATCTTATATTTCAAAAACTAGACAAACGAGTAAACGTAAAGAATACAAATGGAGTACTTTTAATGGATGGTTTCAAATACATCTGTGTAGAGTTTTTCCCTAATCAATACAGCAGTCGAATTTACACGTCTATGATATACACGTGTTTTTATCTTCTTCCGGTTCTTGTGATGGCTTTCAGCTACGGGCGGATCGGACATCGTCTTTGGATCCACCACCCTATCGGCGATGTCTTGGAAAATCCACGTCATCATGAACGCAATATCAAACAGAAGAAGAGGGTGATCAAGATGCTTGTCATGCTTTTCTTGTCGTTTACCGTCTTATGGCTTCCATTCTTCACCTTTCATCTTTACAGAGAATTTGTCGTTAATGAAAACGAGTCTTTTAGGATCAAGAGTGCAATTTTAAAATTGATTGGATATGCTAATTGCTGCATCAATCCAATAATATATACTTTTTTGAACAAAGCTTTCCAAAATGAATTCATACGCATATTCTGCAAAAATCGAGTTTTTGTAACGTCCATGAATGGGAAAACTGAAGTGGTTCGCATCACTAAGTTATAAGTTATTTATTTTTATGTTGACTGTACAAGATCTGAATTCTAGAGAACAACTCTATGTATGCATACGAGGAAAAAGTATCATGTCATAACATTTTTACCAAAAGACATATATCTAAAATTGGTAGATACCATATATGACGTCGTAGAACTCACTGAGCAGCGACTAAAAATTGCAGTTTTGTGCAGCATTCGAAAAGAACTCCATAATGAACTCTGAAAAATGCTGGGTAAAGCAAGAAGTTACAGATCAAACCTTTAGAAACATATGAAATTTAGAATCACCACTTTTTTTCAATATATTTGAACAACACCATATTCATTATTTTTGTCTTAGCGTGTTTTGAAAAAAAAAATCGGAGAGAACGAACTGTGAGCGACTTTAAAAAGGCAGTTCGCAAATACTGATCCTTAAAATGGAACAAGTGAAAATCTGCCTAATTCTGACTATTCTTACTGATTTACAATTAGTAAAAGTCGCCCGCGTGGCGCAGTTGTTAGAGCTTCTGCTCTAGAGTCACGGGTTCATATTCCACTGTGGGACATGGAGACCGGTTCATCGGATGATTCCGTAAAACCGAGGTCCCGTAACAGTAGGTGCTTGCACAAAAAAGATCCCTCACTGCTCAATGGCCCTAAGTGCTGAGTATAGGACAAAATTTGCAGCTCTCACTCGGCAGTTGGTAGCGTTTCCATATGAGTAAAAATTCTTGAGAGGGATGTTAAACAACTAACAACAATCAACATTTAGTAAAAGATCTGGCGTAGATCATTTATATAGGAATTGAGAATTGAAGGACCCATAGACCATCCCCTTGTTAAATCTTTCTGTTGAGATTAATGAAATATACACATCACTTTAATGCTATTATGTAAAAACTGTACATGAAATATGGAGATAACAAACAGAAATCAAGGCAGAGCAAATCTTGAAAAGAGCAAACAATGACCTCTTAATCATCATATGAGAGATCATGGTGACACCCAGAAGTAAGCATACCCTGTCAACTGGTCACAGACGCACTGTGTCATGATCGACATGAATGCTTGAAGAATAAATATAATAGTTTCTGTTGTTCTGTGTTCTTTCCTGAAACCGAAATGTCGATAAGCAAATAAATATTTCATAATGCAGTGCTAGTTTGTTTTACTTAAGTTATGGTTTAGCAGTACAGGCGCCTGAAGAGACATTCGTCCATGATATTTTTTTTTAGATCTATGTGACTTCCTGGTTTACATGTATGTATCATAATTGTGCATGAACTTCTACGTGGAGATTATTATTTGCCAGTCAGCGGTATTAGATAAATAATTAAGTAATCGTTTTTACTGTGCTATCTCATTTGTAATTTAATACAGGCAGATTCTAAACGGTTCTAAGCAAAAGTGATAATGTTTTCCCCATTCACTGTTACTACGATATTAAATTAGAATTCGTCATATACATTACAATATTATATTTTAACAATATTTCAGATATCTGTCTCACGTATCCAGACAGAAGAATATTTTTTTGATTGCTGTAATATATAAACGCCCCATGGAACTGCCAAATGTCATATCTTATAAATTACTTTAGTTTAAAATATATTTTATTCATAGAAATGGATTGAACAGCAGGCATAACTGCCTATGATCGTTCTCTCCATAAATTCTCCATAAATAACGTTGGTACCGGTATCACATAATTGTTTGATTTCAGAATTATTTTTAATGAATAAGGAACAATTTTCATGGTTTCATGGAATTTTCAACTTGATATTAAATATGTAAGATTTTAACTTTAAAAAGATTTTTCTGTCGCAGAGACATATACTGAAGTGGTTCGCATCACTAAGTTATAAGTTATTTATTTTTATGTTGACTGTACAAGATCTGAATTCTAGAGAACAACTCTATGTATGCATACGAGGAAAAAGTATCATGTCATAACATTTTTACCAAAAGACATATATCTAAAATTGGTAGATACCATATATGACGTCGTAGAACTCACTGAGCAGCGACTAAAAATTGCAGTTTTGTGCAGCATTCGAAAAGAACTCCATAATGAACTCTGAAAAATGCTGGGTAAAGCAAGAAGTTACAGATCAAACCTTTAGAAACATATGAAATTTAGAATCACCACTTTTTTTCAATATATTTGAACAACACCATATTCATTATTTTTGTCTTAGCGTGTTTTGAAAAAAAAAATCGGAGAGAACGAACTGTGAGCGACTTTAAAAAGGCAGTTCGCAAATACTGATCCTTAAAATGGAACAAGTGAAAATCTGCCTAATTCTGACTATTCTTACTGATTTACAATTAGTAAAAGTCGCCCGCGTGGCGCAGTTGTTAGAGCTTCTGCTCTAGAGTCACGGGTTCATATTCCACTGTGGGACATGGAGACCGGTTCATCGGATGATTCCGTAAAACCGAGGTCCCGTAACAGTAGGTGCTTGCACAAAAAAGATCCCTCACTGCTCAATGGCCCTAAGTGCTGAGTATAGGACAAAATTTGCAGCTCTCACTCGGCAGTTGGTAGCGTTTCCATATGAGTAAAAATTCTTGAGAGGGATGTTAAACAACTAACAACAATCAACATTTAGTAAAAGATCTGGCGTAGATCATTTATATAGGAATTGAGAATTGAAGGACCCATAGACCATCCCCTTGTTAAATCTTTCTGTTGAGATTAATGAAATATACACATCACTTTAATGCTATTATGTAAAAACTGTACATGAAATATGGAGATAACAAACAGAAATCAAGGCAGAGCAAATCTTGAAAAGAGCAAACAATGACCTCTTAATCATCATATGAGAGATCATGGTGACACCCAGAAGTAAGCATACCCTGTCAACTGGTCACAGACGCACTGTGTCATGATCGACATGAATGCTTGAAGAATAAATATAATAGTTTCTGTTGTTCTGTGTTCTTTCCTGAAACCGAAATGTCGATAAGCAAATAAATATTTCATAATGCAGTGCTAGTTTGTTTTACTTAAGTTATGGTTTAGCAGTACAGGCGCCTGAAGAGACATTCGTCCATGATATTTTTTTTTAGATCTATGTGACTTCCTGGTTTACATGTATGTATCATAATTGTGCATGAACTTCTACGTGGAGATTATTATTTGCCAGTCAGCGGTATTAGATAAATAATTAAGTAATCGTTTTTACTGTGCTATCTCATTTGTAATTTAATACAGGCAGATTCTAAACGGTTCTAAGCAAAAGTGATAATGTTTTCCCCATTCACTGTTACTACGATATTAAATTAGAATTCGTCATATACATTACAATATTATATTTTAACAATATTTCAGATATCTGTCTCACGTATCCAGACAGAAGAATATTTTTTTGATTGCTGTAATATATAAACGCCCCATGGAACTGCCAAATGTCATATCTTATAAATTACTTTAGTTTAAAATATATTTTATTCATAGAAATGGATTGAACAGCAGGCATAACTGCCTATGATCGTTCTCTCCATAAATTCTCCATAAATAACGTTGGTACCGGTATCACATAATTGTTTGATTTCAGAATTATTTTTAATGAATAAGGAACAATTTTCATGGTTTCATGGAATTTTCAACTTGATATTAAATATGTAAGATTTTAACTTTAAAAAGATTTTTCTGTCGCAGAGACATATACTCTACATCAACGCACTTGTTAGAATATTCACAAAGTCTAATCGTTATTTATAAGTAGCGTTATATTACATGATACATATGTAAGGCTTACTTAGTTTAAATAACATGAATCTAAGAGTTGTTGCAAAAATATTCTTATTATCGTCTTTGCACGGACATGGACACAGTTCCGACTGAATTTAAAAAAAAAAATGATTTTAATGCTTACAATTCCTAACTAAGGCAATTCTAATGATCAGCAAAAATTTGAACATCATTTGTTGATTTGCAATGGAGATACATGTACAGAACTTAAATGTCTTCCAAATTCAAATAAGACTCGTGCCTTATTTTGTTTACATATAGAAAATATCATTTTTATATTAACAAAACGAGATTCAGAAAACACGAGAAACAGTTTAATCGTATTTAGAACTAATTCTTTGTTGAAAAAAAACATCTGCTTTGAACGAACATAATAGTATATTTAACCTACAATGTACAGCTGATGTATGTAAACACAAAAACATGGCATGTAATAAACATAACAAATGTTGGAAGCTCTAAATCTGTCTTATATCTCGACAACTGAAATTCATTTTTTATTATCATTACAAATACCTTAGTTAAAAATTTATAACAATTAAAAAATGGAAAAATGAATTTGAAAATTTTTAGCTGAAACTGTCCATGTTCGAAAGCCATGAAGGGACACGTTGATTTTTCAAAAAAGTAAAAATTAATTTGAGATCTCGAATTACACAATCAGTTCCCAAGGATTACCAATTCGTTCCCTCGATTTATAAATCGAGGTCTCGAAATACACAATCCGTTTCCATGGATTATCAATTCGTTCCCTCAAATAACACAATCCGTTATCTCGGATTGTAATTCATTCTCTCAGTTTAAAACAATTCGTTCCCTCGGAATGTAAACCCTTCTCATGATTTCATTAATATCAGCTATCTGTACATATCGGATATGGTAATAGTGTTTAATGAAGAGAATATTGTAGTTGTTTACATCCTACCCTTTATTACATATTACGGTCAAAAATAAGAAAATTACATGAACATGACTTAAATACATATTCTAGTACTGATATTTATACAAAAAAGTCCTTTGTTTTGTATTACGTGTATAAAGAATAATTGAAAAACCTATATTGTAAAAGTTAATATGGCTTCTGTGTGATTATTTTCTATCTAAATAAATATACGTTGAATTAGTCATAAAAGAGGTTCGGAACGACCGCGGTTGCTGAAACAAAATACATAAATCGCATTAATTGATTCAAATAGTTGGATTTGAATGTATCCAACATTACATGTATATATATATAGATCTCGAATTATTAATCCGTGGCATCG